AGCCGAATAGACTAGAACAAGTGGGGTAAAGGACACAACAACATGACGTGGGTTAGCCTCTTACATCTAACTATTCGAGTACAAGTCTAAAGCGCGAAGCCACTGAGCCACGTTACCCCTCTTTTGAAAAAGGGGCCTCTAATAATTTTCACGAAAACGTGAGTACTCTCTCACCAGAGCTATTAGAACAGAAATAGGCTAAGAAATCACACACGAAGCTAATCAGAATCTTATTTAGATTAAGAAAGAGATTATCCTCCTTCATACACTTTTTGCTGATAGAACCCTACTTTTTAGTTGAAAGTGTTATCACAAAAACACCTACAAAACTCGTGTGAAACAGTGGCGTAGCCAGGTCTAGGGGGGCACAATAAATTAAAAAGCTAAAATTGATCTAAATTTTTAATAAAATGGTGATTAAAACAAATCAAATCAAATGTAATAGTGTTTATAAAAGTTTCACTTATTTTTGTTAAATAATACAAAACGAGTTTATTATATATAAAAGCTGAAAAATAATATGCAATCAATATGCCGAGATTTCTGCTTCTCTCTTTTTCGCTTTTTTATTTATCATTTAGAATATGTCAGCGACAAACTCAAGAGTGTTTTATTCTAAATGAAACTTCCCGAAAACAGAAATAGTGAAAAGTAAAATTGGCTTTAATTGACTATAATTTTTTAAATTATACTTGTTATGTGTTGGACACACCCAGACGGTACTACAAAATATTCTAATTTTATATCAGTCGTCGGTTATCAAAGAAACTGCACTTTCAAGCAAATTAACATTAAACGTGATCTAATTTCCATGCACTAGAAGAATTGTTACAGTCTTCAAATCTATGCTATGTACGTTGTTTGAATTGGAATTTAGAAACTGTATATATATATATATATGTATGTAAAAGACATTTAGAAACTGTTTGTATATATATGTATGTAAAAGACATTTAGAAACTGTTTGTATATATATGTATGTAAAAGACATTTAGAAACTGTTTGTATATATATATATATATATATAAGACACTTCCCTCTTTTCCTATTCCTCGTGGGATCCAGAAAATCTATCAACTCTGACTTTGACTTAGGATGAGCTAGAACAACTACATTAGCCTAACGTGACGTTAAAATCTTAAAAGTAGCCCAGAGGTAATTTTTTTTGCAATTACCCATTACCCATACTTTCCACTATTAGAAACGTAACCTAATTCTACGAAAATGACACAAATCAATGTCTTCAGAACATTTTACCTTACAAACCTTCTTATCAGTCAGTCGCCCGTGACAATCCACGCACGCTTTTTATAATTCGTTTATTGGAATAATTGTTGGAAAGACTGCTTTTCTGAAGATAAGCAATGACGTCATAAACGTAAAACGGAAACTCGAAACTTTCCTCACTATTTTATTTTAACGCCAAGCCATTCAATGTGCTATCCGCCGCGGGAAATGAAATCTCACATTTTACCGTTATTATTCCCTAAATGTATCGTTGATTCTCCTTGAAATTCCACAGTTGGAAGTGGGAAGTTTCCATTTTTTTTATTCAATAATATTATAAAAAAATTGTTTGTTTGTTATGGATTTCGCGCAAAGCTACACGAGGGCTATCTGCGCTAGCCGTTCCTAATTTAGCAGACAAGACTAGAGGAAAGGCAGCTAGTGACCACCACCCACCGCCAACTCTTGGGCTACTCTTTTACCAACGAATAGTGGGATTGCCCGTCACATTATGACGCCCTCACGGCTGAAAGAGTAAGCATGTTTGGTGTGACGGGGATTCGAACCCGCGACCCACAGATTGCAAGTCGAGCGCCCTAACCTCCTGGCCATGCGGGCCCATATAAAAAACACAAATTAATTATTGTTTTTCTTTATTTTTGCTTCTGGACTTACACATTAAACTCCAGCGTTTGATCCCCGTGGGGAAGAGAGCGCAGGCAGCTCATTGTGTAGTTTTGAGCTTAAAGAACAACAGCTAAAAGTTATGATTGTGTTTTTGTGTTGTGTTTTGTAGCTGAATTACTAAAGAATATAGTGTGTTTTTTTCTTTTATAAAAAGCACAAGAGAAATGTAAATTTGATCATTCTATTTTGTTGAATATACTCGAAATACTTATACAGGAATTTGAAAGAGATGAACACTTTTCCATAGGGACTGAATGAGTTACATTTACCAGTATTTATTTACAAACAAGGGTAAAACATCAATACGTAAAACAAACAGTTCTTGTGCAAAAATTTTAAAATAAAATTAATCAATGTTTTGTGCTTCTTTATAAAGTTTCTTTTATCTTATATTTTTTAAACTTTACAAATTAATTATTGTGCAAGTAAAAAACTTCGATGTCTCGATTTATTAATTTTATTTAAGGGTAAAACATTTCAATTCATTGTTTTGTAGACAAAACTGTTCGCCTAAATTTTGAAGCATTTGATTTTCGTTAATATTACCCGAGTTATTTGAAAAAGCTTTAATGTAAACATATGAATCAGAAACTTCGTGATGTTAGAATACGAATTTATTTTTCAATTATAAAAGTTCAACAAAATGCGTGAACTTTGAATACTCCCTGAAATAGTAAACAAACGCCTCTTTAACTTCTGGTAAACCTGTAGTACAGTTTTAATATTATTCATTAAAATTTAATCTTTATTCCACATAAAAAGACGATAAAATCAATTTACCCAAGTGCACGGGTCGAACCTGAGCTCTGGTTAAAGTTGGCAGAAATTAAGGTAATTTTATCTGCAGGACATGGGTTGACCCTATGGTATGGCTATGGGTTTTGGAGCCAGCCAGCTGGGTTCGATTCGTGCGATACAGAAAATGTTCCTCGTACTTTAAGCGTAGATGGTGGATGGTAGAGTGTTGCTGATTGGCCATATTCCTCTGGTCAGTAGTTCAAATGGCAGCAAATAAAAACTTTAGTAGCTTTGCCATAAATACAAAATACAATGTATCCAAACTTGCAAGTCTGTCTATCTATGTATGACGTTAGACAACGGCTTGATCAAATGGAAACTTTAACTTCAGAAACATAATACACACACTAAACACCATTTACATCTCTCTTTATATATATACTTGTATATTAATTCCCTGGAAGATTTAGGGACAGGCAATATTTCATGATGAATTTGCGAAATTACTTCGTAGGAAAGAAGGATTGTTTGTTTGTTTTGAATTTCGCACAAAGCTACACGAGGGCTATCTGCGTTAGCCGTTTCTAATTTAGCAGTGAAATACTAGAGAGAAGGCAGCTAGTCATCACCACCCACCACCACTACTCTTTTACCAATAAGTAGTGGGATTGACTGACACATTATAACGCCCCCACGGCTGAAAGGGCGAGTATGTTTGGTGGGACCGGGATTCGAACCCGGAACCAGAAGAGAAAGAAGGTCAGTGGAAAGATGGATATTGGTTACTTCCATTCTCAACAGTGAGGGCTAAAGCTGATGGCCTCGGTGGCATTTGACTTATCCAATTGGGTTTAAGAAATCACAACGTAGCAAAACTGTATGGGAGGTGTAATGATGGAATTATTACACCCACCCCACCCTCAGCTGAAGGGAGTTTCAGGTGATGTGTGAATGTGAGAAACTTGTTCTAGAGGTTTGAATAAAATATCAGTATTCGCCCTATCTGAAAATTAAAACTGCGAAACCACTGTCAGCTTATTTTGCGTCTGTGTGTGGAAACAATATTCCTGCAACGCAGCTAAATGTTTAAATTTTGCTACAGCAGAAAAGTGTGTGTGTGTGTGTTTTGGGAGGGCGTTAATTGAAATTGGTTTGTTTGTTTATTTTAGAACTTTTGCCTACTAAAGCTACACAAGGTGATATCTTAATTTTCAACTGATAGATTAGAATGAAAGCAGCTAACCAACAACACCCGCAATCTATTGGTGGTCTACTTATGTGTGACTCAGTAGTGGGAGTTGGCATATTAGTGCATACATGGCTAGTCGACAGCATCGGCCACCAACTCACGGACTACTCACATCTGACTTAATAGTGCTTTTGTTTGTTTATTTGTTTGACGTTAAGTACAAAATTACATAATGGGCTATCTGTGCTGTGCTCATCACGGGTATTGAGCCCCGATTTCCACCGTCACAAGCCCCCTCAGACTTCCCATCAATTCAGTGGGGGTGGGGTGAGTAAAGGTACTTGACCCTCGATGTTATAGCGTTTCTAAAGTTGGAGCACACCCTTGCGGTGTAAGGTTACGAGCCATGAGTACACAGTCCGGCATGCTAAGCACTAGGCCACGCTCGGCCAGCAAATTACAGTCTCAATAGCCAATAGTGTTTAACAGCAATTGATAACTGATAATATTTTGTCTCTAACAACCACGATGCAGCTTCTTTGGAAATATCTTTATTCGGGTACGATACAGTAAGATAATAAATAACATGCATTACGATTAACCTACAATGCAGAATGTACAAAATTCTCATCATTGATTCGATGTTCATTACACGCGACAATTGACTTTCTCCCCTTAAAGTTTGGTGGTGGTCTTCTTGGATTCTTTTTACTTTTAAAGTAAAATAAATAATAAAATGTATGTCTACCGGTAGGTCAACAGTAAGTTTCGGGACTTACAACGCTATAATTCGGGGTTTGATTCCACCACAAATAGCGTACTGTGAAAATAAACAAAAAATCTAAAATTTATTTATTGAACAAAATTATTAAACCATAATGATGAAACTACTGATATAAAAAATAACAACAAAAAGCTTCTGAAATGTATCAGAAACACAACTTTTCTTACTAAAACACGCAAGAATTACGAGAAAATTAGTCTTTGTCAGTATATTAATAGTTCTGTGCCAGTAAACAGCAGCTTCAATCCAATCCTGTTCACTGGAGCTTAAAACCATACGAGAGGTACACGTGTCACGTGACGCGCATGAGCAAAAGTTTTTTTTTTTTATTATGACAAATCGAGATCACAAAGCATGCAGATGGTTAAAACCACCAGATGCTTAGACACTCGAGAGCAGTTTGGGCTGGCTGGAAACCTGTAGCAGTAAATACCAATAGCAAAACCTGCTGTAAGACTGCATCCAACAGGAAAAGGAGAAAACAAGGTTTCTAAAAGGAGGTAACCTGAATATGTTCTTATAAAATAGAATAATATTGAAACTAGCAGATTGTGTAATGCAGTATTAGTGAACGATAGTATTGTCACTATCGTTTCTCACTAATTGTAGGATTTTTTTTTTACTTCTTTATTTATTGTGTACAGTACAAATAAATTTAAGAAGATTGTCGAAACGTTCAAAATCTTGAAAATTTTGCGTGTTCATAGTAATATGTTCTAAACATCTATTTTTCTTTCTTTAGTACAAAATGTATATGTTCATATTTTCAATCTTCCCTCTTCTTTGTCATATGCCAGTCACAATTTAAATGATTTTTCCAATGTAGTGAAACAAAGAGGAAAACTATTATATTTCCAAAGCGTGCAAAGCTTCTTTAAAATTTTCATACCACTTTAACAATATATCTTCTTTTGAAAAAATGCCGATTCTTAGTTCGCAAATGTTTGATACAGAAAATAAATATACGAGATTTTTATTTCATAATTTACGTAAGGACTTTTCATTCCTATTGTTGAAATTAAAAGTGCACGTATTTCAAATTAGTTTATCACTGATGTTTTTTTAAAGAAAATTATGCTGGTAGTTTCGATAAAGCTTCCCTTAAAAAAACATTTCTATCAACACAAAATAAATCTTGTAATTTAACACGTGTGTTATGATGTGTATTGCATTCAGAAACTCGCAAATACTGTCACGTGTCTTTTGAAATCAATAATTGGAAATAGTTTTTATAAGAAAATAATACTTTAAAACTGGGGGGCAACAAGAAAGGTGTCTAGCTTGTCAAAGTTTGTTTGTTGTTAAACACAAAACTACACAACGGGTTATTTTTACTGTGACTATTACAGTGATCGAACACCGAATTTTAACATAAACCTTCAAGCTTACCTGAACAATCGGGGTGAACTTCCTAAACTAATATTAGAAGTTTTTTAAACGCCTTATGGCCAGGTGGTTAGGACGCTCGACTCTCAATCTGCGGGTTTGAATCTCCGTCCCACAAAACATGCTCGCCCTTTCAGTCGTGGGGGTGTTATAATGTGACGGTCAATCTCACTATTCGTTGGTAAAAGAGTAGTGGCGGTGTGTGGTGATGAGTAGCTGCCTTCCCTCTAGTCTTTCACTGCTAAATTGGGGATGGCTAGCGTAGATAACGGCCCGGCATGGCCAGGTGGTTAGGGCGCTCGACTCGCAATCTGAGGGTCGCGGGTTCG